CATGTTTTTGAGCGTTTTTAATTGCATTTCAGCGCTGAAATGCGACTAAAAACAGAAAAAAAATGCTCTTTCAAAAATTGCGCGGAAACCATGATGAAACGCTGCCGCCCTAGTGTGAATGGCGCCTGAATGAGGCCTAACACTTTACTTTAATACTGCCACACCAATGAGAGGCTGAGGGAAGGGGGATTATAAAAAAATGAAGGTACGCTAAACTGTAAATAAGCGATTTATGTTATAAATGGTTTTTGCGCTGTGTTGGTGTTTGTGTTGTGATAAAATGATACAGACGTATATTTAATTGCAACACAAGGTATCACAACGCACGGCAATGCGTCACAAAGCTTTGCCATGCGCTGCCACAGTCAAATTAATGTTTTTTTACAAGAGAAAAAAAATAATGCACTGCGATGCATTCTAACAACGAAGTGCAGCACATGTGCCTGGCATACACCACAATATGGTGCACGTGTATGTTATGTGTGTGTGGAGGAGGGGAGTTTGTGCTTTTTTTTTAAATGTATTTACACATTTTAAATTATTATTTATTATTATTTTACTGTTGGGGGGCTTCGGGGAAATATTAGGGGTCTAAACAGACCCCTGACATTTCCCTTTTGAAATAGAAAAAGACATTGAGGACACAGAGTCCTCAATGTCTTTTTCTGCAGCCTCAGCACTCAGTGAATGGGGAGTACTCAGTACAGAGGCTTCCTATTCATTCACAAACTGCTGATGGTAAGATATTTACTATCAAGCAGATTCTCAATGGGGAAAAGCCTGTGTACTGAGTGCTTCTCCCCATTGAGAAATTCATGAATGAACAGGAGGTGATATAAATCACCTCCTGTTCATTCATAACTGGGGACACAGAGTACTATGTGTCCCCAGTTATTTACAATCACTGTGTTTGTGCTGCACACGAGGGATCGGTAAATATCAATGATACTTACCGATCCTCCGCTCGGCCACGCACACAGCCGCTGTCATCCTGAAACTGACAAGAGGACAGTGGTTCCGCTGTCCTCCCCACCTGCTGCTCGATCACGGTGATAGTAGTTCCGCCACTGCATGAATCCCCTCTCCAGGTAATGGTTAGCATACATAGAACAAAGGACAAGCCATAGTGCTCTTTCTGTAAACAATTAAAAACCTTTTGTTAAAATTTAAAAACTCTAATCTAAAAACTGATTGTGCACCAGATAGTATACACCGACCGGTCGTAATATTATTACCACCTGCCTAATATTGAGTAGTTCCCCTTTTGCTGCCGAAAATGCCGTGACCCAACAAGCATGGCATGGACTCCACTAGACATCTGAAGGCATGCT